CTAAACTATGTTTTCTACCTTTATCCTGCATCTACCTACCACTTCAGCATTTTATTTAAAAAATAATAATAATAATAAGAGAGAAATGTAGGATTCACATATAAATCAACTATAACAATCAAACGAATAATCATATCTGACTTGATTGTTTATAGTTCATGATGCGTGATCAAAACCGAAAGTTTCTGTGATATGACTGCCCTTGCACTGTTCACCATGTAAGAACTTATTCACTGTGTAAGAACTTGTTCACCATGTAAGAACTTGTTCATTATGCTTCAGAAGATTGGAGACTGTTGAGAAATTGGCTTGGGGTTGATTAATGACTGTGCATTAAGTCCCCTATACAGAATTTTATTGTTGTTAACAACCATTTGATCAATAAATATGAGAGATGCCCTCTCAAAAAAAAAAAAAAACTTTTTCTATGGAAACCAATAGAGTGGAGCAGAATTATTACCCATTAACATCCTTATTACTACTTGAAAAGTTTTTTAGTTTACTTTTCTTATGTCTTTCTAAGCCACAAAATTATTGCAGATTGATTATCTGTCCTGTTTGCCATTGTTCTTCCAGTCTTTAGCATGAAACATATACTCCAAAAACATTTGTTAGTTACTGGATGAATCGTTATATCTAAATAATTGCATACTGACTAAAAATACTTGATATATTTTAGTATTTTTTATATTTTCATGGAAGATATAACACATAGTTAAATTATGGATATTTGTAGAAAGATGTATCCAAAATATTAAGCCATTAACACCTTCAATATGACATTTTATTCGGTATTAAATATTTACTATTTAAATGACATTCAAACCCTTTCACATAATTGTGGCTTTTTTCTCATGTGTAGTCTCAAGTGAAGGTTATCTCAGGTTAATATTTGGGTTCCCAAAGTATTTATAAGTACCCAATGCAGGGAGATATTTGTTTCCACATTTTTTAGCAGAATGTCAAATTCTGTTATCATTATCATGCGCTAGTTTTGTAAACTTCAGGAAACCACTAATCTTACTAATATTGTTTTCTGCTTATAGAAACAGTGATGGAAAGAGTAAGAGGCACATGGTAGATTTGCTGGGAAGATCCAATGAAATGACTTCTACCAAAAAATTTCACTAGCACACTACACATAGCAGTTAATATTTATTTCATCCGAGAGCTCTTTGTGAAGATTGTTGAAGTTTATTCATTTTTTAAAAATCACAGTGTTGCCAGTTAATACTTCTGGAAACTGGGCTGTGTGACATATACTTCCTTAACAGAAAAATATAATCTCTTCGTCACAAAGAGATTAAAAAAATCTTATTTTTTAAAATAAAATGTTCAGCTCGGGAAATCAAGTGCTCAAACTATTCATACATCTAAAATATTCCAAATAGTAAAAATTACCGACAATTTTCTCCATTATTTTAGGAAAGAATGTAAAAGAGAAAGCTAATGTCATTCACCTGGGTCTAGCACATGAAATAGTTCTTATTAATCTAAAACATTAAAGATCTTCAGAATTTAAAGTTTTGGCATGGCATCAAACCACAGAAGTTCTCCTGGAGTGTTTTTTAACTTTGCAGGTTTACTTGTCTCATAAAAAAGTAAGTGAGTATAGGTAGTCCAGGGGTGGTACAGTGGTTCATTAAGATATCTCTCTGTTCTGGATGACACTTCCAATCTCATAAACATATAAATATCTATGGGTGTGGTAGATTTAAGGACAAAGAAGAGGGAAGGGGTGAAGGGTAAAAAGCAAAAGGACTTTATTTAAGTGAATCTTTGTATTTTTATCAGAAAGGAACATAATTCTCTATGGATTTTAAAATGTTATTTTAAAAGAATATTGTCACATAGGCACAATTGGTCACAAAGGTTTTGGGACACTTTGATACAGAAGGAGTTAAAGGAAAGAGGTACTGGGAATGGAGATTGTGTCAGCCATCAGAGAATGTCAGCAACATGTTAAAGATTAATGATTAAACATAGAATTGATGTGTTCTCACAGTAGTTATGTTTCTGTGAGAAGACAGTTTTGCTGTATAAAACAAGTGAAAAGAAATCCCTACCTTAAGACCTAAAGAGTGAAAGTATATACACCAAAGATAACAAGGTGATTTTTGAATTAGCCTGAGAAAAAGAAGGTCATTAAAAAAAAACAGCCATTGTTCAGCACCTGACTTTTCAATAACTTCTCTATAGCAACAAAAGAAACCTGAAAACAGTGGGATATATACTCAAAGTATTAAGAAAAATTTGTCCTACAAAGTGTACACACTAAGAAAATATTTCAAGTATTTGTGTAATATAAGAAAACTTTCAGACAAAGCAGAGTTTATAACTACTAAAATTCCTAATGAAAGTTGAAGGACAGCTCTCCCAGATGGAAATTCAGTGATACAACAGGAAATAATGAAAGCAATAAATATGAGAAAAAAATTAATGTAAGGGGAAAATGAAATGAAAAATAAATCTATTCAAAAGAAGAAAAATGAAGGGGAGGGGAGGATGATATGATTTATATTACATAAGCAAATAAAGTTTTAGAAATTAATACAAATATGTCAGTGGTAATTGGTAATGATAAATGGAATTGATGTATATACTCTGGTCAAACAGTTAAACTGGATGAAATATGAAATCCAGCTTAATATTGCAATAAAGGACAAAAATGTAAGTAAACAGAAGGAGTAAAGTAAAAGAGTGGTGAAGAATACCAAGTAAATTATAATAAAAGGAATCCTGGAATAGTTAATTTCAGACAAAAGAAAGAAGGTAGCTCCCTAATGATAATGACTTTCTTCATCAGAAGATGCAATAATTTCAATGATGCACACTGTCAGTAACAAATTTTAAATACACACACACACATACCCCATATTTATGAAGAGAAATAGTAAAATCCACATAATCTTGGGAGATTTTATAATATATCATCCCTAAAGTGATATCAGGCAAGTAAAAATTTTAATAAGCATACAGAATATTTGAACAAGCCAATGAATAAGCTTCATCTATTAGATATACTAGAGCACTCTATTGGCTGTCAGGTGGTATGGGTAAGGATTTCAGCTAGGGGTACAATAGAGATCTTTTATCTCTGCTCTAAAATGTCTGAGGCCTCATCTGGAAAATCTAAAGCTGGGGGCTGGAATTATCTGAATGCTCATTCATTTACAAATCCTGAAGTTGATTCTATCTATGGGCAAAGTTGGAGCTATCAGAGGGAACACCCACATGTGTCATTTCCATGTGCTTAGGGTTTCCTCAAAACATGGTGGCTGGGTTAAAGATCAACTCCCCAGAGATGTGGGGAGAGAGGGAGAGAGAGAGAAAGAGAGAGAGAGACAGACAGAGACAGAGACAGAGAGACAGAGAAGAGCAGAAACTGTAATGTCTTTTGTGCCCTAGCCTCAGCATTATTTCTGCCACATGCTGTTGGTCAAAGTTACAAAGCTTATTTAGATTAAGGAGATGAAACATAAACACAACTTTGATGGAATAATGTCAATATTGCATTATAAGACCGTATGAGATGATCAGTGTGGTTGATAGCAAGGAACAAAATAAACAGAAAAAAAAAATAAAACCACATATATTTTGATATTAAGTAAAATAATTCCAAATACATCTTCATGGATTATAATCATTGTGAATATAAGAAAATTCATAGATGACTGATAATATATTATCATCAAAATCAAGAATCTATGTTAATTTTGACTGAAACTTTTTTTAAGTATATGATTTTTCCTCCTACTGCTCTTTTCTATATGCATCTTATTTATACGGATTGTACAGATATCCACACAGGCAAACTTTCTTGTCTATATATTTTTAATCACATACTTCTCTATATGGAATATTATTCTCCACCATATCCATCTACTATATAGAGGACAATTATTTCCATCTTGCAATATCTATCTCAAATTCTACTTCCCCAATGCAATACTCTATGGTTCCTTCAAACCCCCAGGTAAAATGATTTTTTCTTTCTTTTTCACAATCAGGAATACATATTTTGAACAATTTCTTCAATAGTATATATCACTTCCTACCTTGTTTTATTGTTTTTGTCTTTGATGTCAGTGTTTCAAGGTCAGAGAACATGTGTCATTCAATTTATACTTTCCATATCATGTAGCATCCATTGGAAGTCCAAGTATGTAAGACAAGGTCAATTAATATCTGTTACATTTATTTCACCTTTATATTCAATATGTACTCTCAGTTCCTATAAATAAAATCAGTGTTCTTCACAAAGTACAATTCAAACTTCTCTAACATGAGAATATACATTTCTTAGTTTGAGGTTTTCTTTAATTCTCCCCTTTCTTTTTTCCTCAATTATAAAACAATTTGAGAAATAACATAGTCACTGTTTGTCTTCTGACCAGTCACAAAAAGATCTGGTGTAACACCATGAGAGGAATGAGCAACATTGTCTAGCAGGAGTATATGTAACCTGACTGCTAGTTTATAGAAATATATGGTAAACTCTATAGGGTCAAAACCATCTCAGACACACAAAAACTTATTAGTATTACTGAAAGGATACAGGTTTAACCAGTTTAATTTCGAATTGGCACCTAAATAACCCACTCTTGCATACCTTTGAAACTGTTGCTGCTGAACTACTTCCTCCAGTGGTGTATGAACCTACATGGAATAAGTGACGAAGATTGTCAAACAATGCAAAAGTTTCAGCTATATTCTTGGTAACATGTCCTCCAATATTCAGGTTTCCTCTAGGCAATAACAGCGTCATTTAGCCTTACACAGCCATCACAATGCTTTGCTCTTTGCTTGATACGGTCTTTCTCTTCAGGCACGAAAGACTGTGTGTCGTCTAGTAGGGGCTGTTAATTTCAGATGTTTTCAGTAGATTTACCACAATAACGAGAAGAAAGAAACCCATTTGCTTTCCATAGACATGGTCTAATCCCAGAGCTCTGTGATGTGAAACACTGGAGGGTGTTCAAGTAGGTTGAATGGACTGTAGCACTACATATATTTTTGTACGAATGTAGAGGACAATTATTCCCTCAGGTTACAAACTCTGTATTTTTGCCTTCATTGATTCACCATTAGTTGCTCAAATCAAAAGCAGGGTATCTGCCAGCCTCTGTTTTTGAAGCTATGCATCCTCTGTTTCCATTGTGCTGTTTAGAAGTTATTCTCTAGAGAGTTGTTTGTCTTTAAGGATGCATGAAAGATTTAACATAATACTCCACATTGGTACTGAATTACACTTACTACAATTATAGTTCCCTTGCTGAAGTTGAGAAGATCCCATTATTATTGTTATTATTATTATTCACAGTGTAAACAAGCACATTACACAATAGCCATTTTTGTCCAATATCAGTTTAGTAACTATTAAATGGGAAATAGAGATGAAAGTGGTGACTGGGTCCACAATTTGGATGACAAAAATCTTCCATATTTCTTCTGACTGTAACATTTGGTTGAAGCAACTACTAATTAATCAATCAATAAACAAATAGAAATCATGTGCCTAAGTTGGAATACAAAATACACCTAAAACTTATTTTTTATCAAGTCCCCATTCTAAGCAATTTATACATCCTAATTCATTCATTGAAATGTTAAAATGTAAGGGCTGTCATCAATGTCACCATCATCATTTAGAGATGAGGAAATGAAGCTACAGAACTGCTGAATAATTTGCCCAAAATCATACATGTAATGAGTGTTAGCACCTAAGATGCAAACCCAGTTAGTCTGTCTCTGAGCTTGTATTCTCGACCACCGCATTCTGCTTAGTCCTGTTTCTCCTCACGCTGTCTGTTAGCTGTATAGTTGGGTATAAACCCTTTTCTATCATTCTCAGTGATGTCTCCATATGAAAAATTATAAACTGGTCGGTTTCACTGACCTGCAGATGGGAATTCTGTAACTTGGCTACATGGAGCAAAGAATTATTAGAGTAGAAATCTATTATATCTTTCAATGTACACTAAGTAAAGACTGAAATTTTATAGACTGACATATTATAAGATAGCTTTATTCAGCGAATCAAATTATTTATTTACACATGAAATAGTTCTTATTAATCTAAAACATTAAAGATCTTCAGAATTTAAAGTTTTGGCATGGCATCAAACCACAGAAGTTCTCCTGGAGTGTTTTTTAACTTTGCAGGTTTACTTGTCTCATAAAAAAGTAAGTGAGTATAGGTAGTCCAGGGGTGGTACAGTGGTTCATTAAGATATCTCTATGTTCTGGATGACACTTCCAATCTCATAAACATATAAATATCTATGGGTGTGGTAGATTTAAGGACAAAGAAGAGGGAAGGGGTGAAGGGTAAAAAGCAAAAGGACTTTATTTAAGTGAATCTTTGTATTTTTATCAGAAAGGAACATAATTCTCTATGGATTTTAAAATGTTATTTTAAAAGAATATTGTCACATAGGCACAATTGGTCACAAAGGTTTTGGGACACTTTGATACAGAAGGAGTTAAAGGAAAGAGGTACTGGGAATGGAGATTGTGTCAGCCATCAGAGAATGTCAGCAACATGTTAAAGATTAATGATTAAACATAGAATTGATGTGTTCTCACAGTAGTTATGTTTCTGTGAGAAGACAGTTTTGCTGTATAAAACAAGTGAAAAGAAATCCCTACCTTAAGACCTAAAGAGTGAAAGTATATACACCAAAGATAACAAGGTGATTTTTGAATTAGCCTGAGAAAAAGAAGGTCATTAAAAAAAAAAAAGCCATTGTTCAGCACCTGACTTTTCAATAACTTCTCTATAGCAACAAAAGAAACCTGAAAACAGTGGGATATATACTCAAAGTATTAAGAAAAATTTGTCCTACAAAGCGTACACACTAAGAAAATATTTCAAGTATTTGTGTAATATAAGAAAACTTTCAGACAAAGCAGAGTTTATAACTACTAAAATTCCTAATGAAAGTTGAAGGACAGCTCTCCCAGATGGAAATTCAGTGATACAACAGGAAATAATGAAAGCAATAAATATGAGAAAAAAATTAATGTAAGGGGAAAATGAAATGAAAAATAAATCTATTCAAAAGAAGAAAAATGAAGGGGAGGGGAGGATGATATGATTTATATTACATAAGCAAATAAAGTTTTAGAAATTAATACAAATATGTCAGTGGTAATTGGTAATGATAAATGGAATTGATGTATATACTCTGGTCAAACAGTTAAACTGGATGAAATATGAAATCCAGCTTAATATTGCAATAAAGGACAAAAATGTAAGTAAACAGAAGGAGTAAAGTAAAAGAGTGGTGAAGAATACCAAGTAAATTATAATAAAAGGAATCCTGGAATAGTTAATTTCAGACAAAAGAAAGAAGGTAGCTCCCTAATGATAATGACTTTCTTCATCAGAAGATGCAATAATTTCAATGATGCACACTGTCAGTAACAAATTTTAAATACACACACACACATACCCCATATTTATGAAGAGAAATAGTAAAATCCACATAATCTTGGGAGATTTTATAATATATCATCCCTAAAGTGATATCAGGCAAGTAAAAATTTTAATAAGCATACAGAATATTTGAACAAGCCAATGAATAAGCTTCATCTATTAGATATACTAGAGCACTCTATTGGCTGTCAGGTGGTATGGGTAAGGATTTCAGCTAGGGGTACAATAGAGATCTTTTATCTCTGCTCTAAAATGTCTGAGGCCTCATCTGGAAAATCTAAAGCTGGGGGCTGGAATTATCTGAATGCTCATTCATTTACAAATCCTGAAGTTGATTCTATCTATGGGCAAAGTTGGAGCTATCAGAGGGAACACCCACATGTGTCATTTCCATGTGCTTAGGGTTTCCTCAAAACATGGTGGCTGGGTTAAAGATCAACTCCCCAGAGATGTGGGGAGAGAGGGAGAGAGAGAGAAAGAGAGAGAGAGACAGACAGAGACAGAGACAGAGAGACAGAGAAGAGCAGAAACTGTAATGTCTTTTGTGCCCTAGCCTCAGCATTATTTCTGCCACATGCTGTTGGTCAAAGTTACAAAGCTTATTTAGATTAAGGAGATGAAACATAAACACAACTTTGATGGAATAATGTCAATATTGCATTATAAGACCGTATGAGATGATCAGTGTGGTTGATAGCAAGGAACAAAATAAACAGAAAAAAAAATAATAAAACCACATATATTTTGATATTAAGTAAAATAATTCCAAATACATCTTCATGGATTATAATCATTGTGAATATAAGAAAATTCATAGATGACTGATAATATATTATCATCAAAATCAAGAATCTATGTTAATTTTGACTGAAACTTTTTTTAAGTATATGATTTTTCCTCCTACTGCTCTTTTCTATATGCATCTTATTTATACGGATTGTACAGATATCCACACAGGCAAACTTTCTTGTCTATATATTTTTAATCACATACTTCTCTATATGGAATATTATTCTCCACCATATCCATCTACTATAGAGAGGACAATTATTTCCATCTTGCAATATCTATCTCAAATTCTACTTCCCCAATGCAATACTCTATGGTTCCTTCAAACCCCCAGGTAAAATGATTTTTTCTTTCTTTTTCACAATCAGGAATACATATTTTGAACAATTTCTTCAATAGTATATATCACTTCCTACCTTGTTTTATTGTTTTTGTCTTTGATGTCAGTGTTTCAAGGTCAGAGAACATGTGTCATTCAATTTATACTTTCCATATCATGTAGCATCCATTGGAAGTCCAAGTATGTAAGACAAGGTCAATTAATATCTGTTACATTTATTTCACCTTTATATTCAATATGTACTCTCAGTTCCTATAAATAAAATCAGTGTTCTTCACAAAGTACAATTCAAACTTCTCTAACATGAGAATATACATTTCTTAGTTTGAGGTTTTCTTTAATTCTCCCCTTTCTTTTTTCCTCAATTATAAAACAATTTGAGAAATAACATAGTCACTGTTTGTCTTCTGACCAGTCACAAAAAGATCTGGTGTAACACCATGAGAGGAATGAGCAACATTGTCTAGCAGGAGTATATGTAACCTGACTGCTAGTTTATAGAAATATATGGTAAACTCTATAGGGTCAAAACCATCTCAGACACACAAAAACTTATTAGTATTACTGAAAGGATACAGGTTTAACCAGTTTAATTTCGAATTGGCACCTAAATAACCCACTCTTGCATACCTTTGAAACTGTTGCTGCTGAACTACTTCCTCCAGTGGTGTATGAACCTACATGGAATAAGTGACGAAGATTGTCAAACAATGCAAAAGTTTCAGCTATATTCTTGGTAACATGTCCTCCAATATTCAGGTTTCCTCTAGGCAATAACAGCGTCATTTAGCCTTACACAGCCATCACAATGCTTTGCTCTTTGCTTGATACGGTCTTTCTCTTCAGGCACGAAAGACTGTGTGTCGTCTAGTAGGGGCTGTTAATTTCAGATGTTTTCAGTAGATTTACCACAATAACGAGAAGAAAGAAACCCATTTGCTTTCCATAGACATGGTCTAATCCCAGAGCTCTGTGATGTGAAACACTGGAGGGTGTTCAAGTAGGTTGAATGGACTGTAGCACTACATATATTTTTGTACGAATGTAGAGGACAATTATTCCCTCAGGTTACAAACTCTGTATTTTTGCCTTCATTGATTCACCATTAGTTGCTCAAATCAAAAGCAGGGTATCTGCCAGCCTCTGTTTTTGAAGCTATGCATCCTCTGTTTCCATTGTGCTGTTTAGAAGTTATTCTCTAGAGAGTTGTTTGTCTTTAAGGATGCATGAAAGATTTAACATAATACTCCACATTGGTACTGAATTACACTTACTACAATTATAGTTCCCTTGCTGAAGTTGAGAAGATCCCATTATTATTGTTATTATTATTATTCACAGTGTAAACAAGCACATTACACAATAGCCATTTTTGTCCAATATCAGTTATTTAGTAACTATTAAATGGGAAATAGAGATGAAAGTGGTGACTGGGTCCACAATTTGGATGACAAAAATCTTCCATATTTCTTCTGACTGTAACATTTGGTTGAAGCAACTACTAATTAATCAATCAATAAACAAATAGAAATCATGTGCCTAAGTTGGAATACAAAATACACCTAAAACTTATTTTTTATCAAGTCCCCATTCTAAGCAATTTATACATCCTAATTCATTCATTGAAATGTTAAAATGTAAGGGCTGTCATCAATGTCACCATCATCATTTAGAGATGAGGAAATGAAGCTACAGAACTGCTGAATAATTTGCCCAAAATCATACATGTAATGAGTGTTAGCACCTAAGATGCAAACCCAGTTAGTCTGTCTCTGAGCTTGTATTCTCGACCACCGCATTCTGCTTAGTCCTGTTTCTCCTCACGCTGTCTGTTAGCTGTATAGTTGGGTATAAACCCTTTTCTATCATTCTCAGTGATGTCTCCATATGAAAAATTATAAACTGGTCGGTTTCACTGACCTGCAGATGGGAATTCTGTAACTTGGCTACATGGAGCAAAGAATTATTAGAGTAGAAATCTATTATATCTTTCAATGTACACTAAGTAAAGACTGAAATTTTATAGACTGACATATTATAAGATAGCTTTATTCAGCGAATCAAATTATTTATTTACCAATAATAAAAATTTAAAAAACTCTTGTGGTAAATAGTAATGTGCAGATCATAAAATATATATTAGAGTACTTGAATCTAACACTGGATAAATCTCTCTCATCCTTTTTGAAATGAGATTCTGCTATTATTCACAATTACTGTAAGATATATTCATACATATTCATATGGCATATATTTGTTTGCCAATGTTTTTATTGAAATAGATTTCATCCCATAGATTCTTAATTGATGATATACTATTAGGAAGGGCAAGGAATGGTAATGATAAGTTCAGCAATTAGGGTTAATATACAGTTTTTTTTTTGTAGTAAGAGTTTAGGAAATTACTCTGCAGCAGGAGGTTTTCCACTTTGTTGCTGGGGAACAGTCATTTCTGATTATTTCAAGGCATTGCCACCTGGAGTAGAAAATGCCTTTCTATGCCAAGGTGCTAGATTAGACAGATCACAACACTTCAAGTCCAAACATCTGCTGAGACAAGACTGAATATGCTGTGAAGTCCTATTGGCTGAATTTTTAAGAACATGTGTTTCAAAATTTCATGTGCCAATTAGTGCATAAAGTATTTATTGAATCTTTAATATATTCAGAACACTGCAATAGTCACTGTGGGCAAACAAAAGGTAATAGATAGTTTACAATCTACTTCTCTAAAGAGTTATGTATAATCTAAGGCTAGAAATAGTTTCAAACATAAAACAGATGTGACCTTGTCCCTAAGGAACATGCAGGATAGACATTTTTGAATCAGAAGCTGAGTGAAGTACAGAATCAAAGACATCTCACCCAATGCAGTTTGTTGTTCCTTCTACAATACATCAGCATCTAAATTCTGCTTGAATCAATCCAATAATACTAGTATCTATCTATGTATCTCTCTATCTAAGACAACCATCTTATTCCTTTGAGGAGGTCTCATTAAGAATTCTTTATATCATTTGTTCTTATGGGTCCAGCCATAACATTAAAGAAGAGATAACATCTCTTCAAACATCTGAATATCCCTCCTTCCTAAAAATGTGCCATTTATCTAGTCTCTAATAGCAATTTGTTACTTCCACCCAATCCTCTGAAATGATTTTTCAATATAGCATTATTTTAACTTTTTTCAAGCCTATAGGCTAATTAAAACTCAACCTATCCAACACATATCATGTTTTATTTTCAGACAATTATCTCTCTGGCTTTCTTATCTTAGTGAGACAAAATGCAAGATGTGTGAGTCAACTAGGATTCATTTTTTTCTCTAAGATGTATTTCCTGCGTGAGGAGAATTTATTCCTGGAGGAACACGGGAAGGTGTTACTCAATTCTCACAAAAAGGATTGAGAGCCACTAAGACTCTTAAAATAATTTGAAGCCAAATAATCCTTCACCACAGCAAAGATGTGGAGTGGAATAGAAGTTGGGCTTGAAAGGAAAGAAGTAACAAGACATGATCAAATCTGTGATGGTTTTGGGGGTAGTAGCTGTGGTTTGTGGTACTGCTTTGAAGAAGAGGCAGAGGAGTAGTGTGCTGGGTGAGACATGATGAAATTAATGGAAATACAATAACTCAGTTAATGCAGTTCAGACTATCTACTGCACCTTGTGTTATATATTAGAGCAGAGTGTAGAAAGAGTGGATGGCTACTGCAGTGCTGACCAGAAATGGCCCCAGAGAATCAGGCAGCTTGACTAGATAGGGTAGGAAGCTGCTCCTCTAACCTTCAGCGAACAAGTACAAACTCCAGGTGTCCTGATTAGATATTGTCTCAATGATAAATTACTTTGTGATGCAATTTGTTATTGCTCTGTACAAACAAGGTATGCCAAGAGGAAAAAGAAAAATGAGGCCTAGATCCATAACTTCAGTTTTTCTCTGATGAAATGCTTGATGTCTATTAGTGTGATTTTCACAGACCTATACATTCAACAAAATTTCAAGTGATTTCTTTTAATTTTGTTGAATGCTATAGCTTTTTATGTTTTATGCCATCTTTTAAGTTCTAAGATTGCAAAATACATTTTCTAAAAATCATGATTTTATCACCAAGTTCAAATTACAAATAGGTTTCCTATTTTCATGATAGTTTACTTTTGACACATTTTGTGATACAGTTTTCTACTTTTAAAAAGAATAAAAGATTGTTATCATCATAAGAATTCATTGAGTTGCTTATGGTTTCATTCTGCTAAGAACAATAGGAAAAAAGCCTCATGACACTGAAAATAAAGAATATAATATTTTGATCCAAATCCACATCTGGAAGTCTGATACTGTTCATCTCTCTGAATATCATGTTTTCTTCCTGAGAATAGAGACTGACAGGGATATTTAATCTTTTATATTGGCCACAATGATAACTTTTAAATATTTCATATTGTTGTACTGATTAAGAACATATGACATTATGCAAAACTTGGCACACATATGATTCAGGAGAGTATCTGCTGAAAAATGAAACACTTGAGAGCCTGGAACTTAGCACATCGCAGTGCTCCTGAGAGGATGAGCCGACAGCTCAGGTGTTCAGTGACGTCACTATGGGCCTCTGTACCGATCCTCTGCCCGTGTGCTGAACCTGTGTGTCCCAGCAGCTGAGTGATCTCAGAGATGGGAAATCACCCACAAATCTGTCCTAAGGGTATTGCTCCAGTATAGCTGCTTAAGAGTTTCCCTTAGTCTCAGGACATCAAAGCAAAGTCAACTTTTAAATGTTTATCAAGCATTCTCCCAAGAACTCTAACATCATATTTATATTCTAGTAGACAGAACGCAATTGGAAAAAAAGTGATCTTGCTGTATAAATGTGATTTTCGCCAAAAACAAAATTACATTCTTTGAAATAAGGTTGATGTCCATAAGAGCATCACTTTAACCTGGAGACCCAATCATTACTTGATGACGATGATTCCTCGTGTGGAGGTGGCAAAAGTTAGTGACTGGAGTGTTGGTTTTAAAGTTAAAAATTACAGTCAAATATCCTTTAATAATCTGTGATTGTCTTCTTCTAAGAATTCTTTCTTAGAACCTTCTACTGGTTCTCTTTTCTGGAAAAATGACTCACTCTAAGGTGAGCTGACCTTTTCTGAGACAATATTCTTCTATCTATAAAAATGTAGTATTGAAGTTAACTTTTCCCTTAGAGATATTGGGGTAAGGATAGTCTAAATATTTAATTTGGTTGTGTTTTTTCTCAAGAAATTAGAAAATCTTACAATAAGGAGTACAAAAAATGTTGAACACAAGAATATGATAGATGGAATTGTGTTGAATAAGGAAAAAATATATGGAGAAAAGGCCATTACAATAATCAGAATTTAAAAAGATGGTGTGTTGAAATTTTAAAAAATGGATGGAACAACTTGATACCTATTAATTAAAGTTGAGATAGATTCTAGAGAGTGCCCATCTAAGAGGATTATACTTATTCAGGGATATTCTCAAAGTGGTGGGTAAAAGAAAGCTCCGGTCCTTTAAAGATTCACTTAGTGACGGATACACATGCACACACACACAAACACACACACACATACACACACACACACACACACACATACACACACAGAGGTTAAAGCCAAAATTTAGAATTTACTAAATAAAATAATTTTGTCCAGAAAAAATAATAACCAGTTAATGAAATAGGTTACTTTTATACTCAATAAAGCTTAGACTTTAGGGCACTGAATATATTGTTAGCTTCTCTATTGAATCCAGAATTACC